TTTCTCATGCATCCCTTTATTAAAGGTGTATTGTAGCATTTCAACGTCTGCCCTGCTCAGCTCTCTCCTAATTTATGGGATGTGTTGGTAGGCCTTTTTGTTTTCTTCAAAACGTATGGTCTTTGGGTCCCTACTGTTCCTTTGCTCGTGAAATTTTTCAACGTCAAGTACACTCCCTCTGACGATTTTTGTACATCTCCAAGCGCGTGAAAACCAAAATTCTTATCTTTGACCTCCTGAGCTCCCATAAAGGTTGGAAGAAACTATTCTTTTTTGTGTGGGAGAGAGACTGAGAGTTAAACTCCACCGATGTGACTGATACTCTTCCAATTCCTCGGGGTTGGTCTGTCCCAGATAACTTGGGTGAGCCTTTTCTTGAGCAAGTTAGGATGATCTTTAGTATCCTTCTTGGCTGACTGGTTTTATTTTTCAGGCATCAGACCAGAACTCAGCGCTGTAGATGAGCGAATTTTAAGGAGTTTGGCCAACTGTAATTCAGAAAGATATTTAGAGCTCATCCAGCCCCAAGTTCTTGTAGAGCTTTATTTTAGCCCTCGTGAGGTGAAGATTGAGAATCTCATTCCTCTTTCCGTCGTCAATGCTGAGGAAGTTGTAGGTTTGTTTCCTCTCTCCTGCCTTTAGGCTTTTTGCCTCTTGTTCTTCTCCCTCTTTTTTTTTTTAACTTGTTCTTATGCTTCTAGGCTCTTCCACTATGCGGCCTTCCCAAGAAGTGCTTGAGGCTAAGGTTGCCCTGTTAAAGAAAAGCAGGGGTGGGGCTAAGCATAAGGCCGAGCTTGGTTCTAGCGGCAACATCCTTCCTCCCGCTAAGGCCTCCAAGGTAGGTGTGCCTTCCGCTTCCACTATACCTGCTCAAATGGTGTTTATCCCATCACCAAGTGTTTCACCACCTGTCAAGACCTCTTCTCCCCATGGGCTCCTTCTTACTCCTAAGGGGGCTCCTGAGTCGACCTCCCCCACTCCAACTGAGGTCGAGAAGGCATTAGTGTCAGTGACTCAAGTCTTGCTTGTCTATGTTTCTTCTGGGCTGCCTGGGAAGTCTCTATTACCTTCCCGAAAAAGTCCCAAGAATGAGAAGGGGAAGCAGGCTAAGGACGAGAAAGGGGATGACTCTTTCCTGGATGATGCTGAGCTCGCTGTAGGTGCTCTTGACTCCATCATTCCCCTCTCTGATGTCCAGAGGGCTGCAGCCTTGCCACTTGAGAACTCTGTCAACGCAACTTTGCATGGGGCTGCTACGATAAGTTCTCCTTTCATTTGTTTAGTAACTCCATCTTTTGGCAATCGCTTTATGTTGAATTTTCAATCCTTGCTGCCCTTGCTCCCGGATGGCCATCTACACGAAGGGGTTGTTAAGTCGAATCCGAGACCTGAAAAGCTCTACAAGGGCTTTTGAACTCAAATGTGCCGAGCTAGCCTTTGCCAATCATGACTTCCAAATCCAAATTCAGGACTTGCAAACACAAGTGGAAAAGCAAACTTCAACCATTGAGACCTTAGAAGCGAATGAAGAGAAAATTCAAAAAGAGCTCAAGCTTAAGATTGATGCCTGGGCCAAAGCTAGTCAGGAAACATCGGAGGCCCTAAGCTCTTACAGGAACATGAAAAAGGAGTACGACGTCCTGGCTGAGGTGAATGACACTCTTCAAAATGAGCTTGAGGCACAAAAGGTCGTGGTGAAGAAGAAGGATGCCCTCGTTGATAAGCTAATGGATGACATTACAACTAAATGGGCTACTGGAGGACTTGCCTTTCAAGAACGGGCTGAAGAAGCGTACCCTAACTTGAGCTTCGACTTTGAGATTCCTCCTCAACACGAGGAGGAAGAGGCTAACACAGGGGATGCGGGTGTGGATCCTGAGCTTCTTCTTGGTGATGCGCCAGTCCCTCCGACTCTGTGCTCCTCCCTTTCTTCGGTTGCCCCAGTTGTCCTTACTCTAGAAACTGTTCCTGTCCAAGTAGCTGCCCAACTCCCTTACAGTTCTTCCACTTCATCTCTTGTTATTCCTCTTGCTACAGATCTTATGACCAGGGCTCTTGCCCAAAGCTCGCCAGGAGCAGAAACTGAGATCCCAGCTTCTGGTCTTCCAGAGAACTTTATTACTGATCAACCAGGAAGCTTGCTTGCTACTCTACTAGGAGAGTCAACTGCTGGCTTATCAGGCTTCTCTCCTCCTACTTCTATTTAAATCCTAAGGGAGATATCTCTCTTTTTTTTTTTTACATGGTTGGGACTCTTTGCTTTTAAATGTAAATTTGATGCCAATGTTCAACTCTTGGCCATTTGAAGTAGATTTGAGATTTTTGTTGTAGCTTCACTTGCTTGTCGTGCCTTCTCTTTTCCCTTGCCCCCGCTTCAAAGGGTCCTTTAGACTTCCTCGAAGTAAGCAAGTTTGGAATGGTCAGTAGAACTGAAGAATCCATTGAAAGCCATTTAGAGCTTGTCTGCGTGAGCTGTTGAGCTCGTTTGATGAACTAAGAAGTTCATCGTGAGTTGTTGAGCTCGTTTGATGAACTGAGAAGTTCATCGCGAGCTGTTGAGCTTGTTTTATGAACTGAGCAGTTCATCACGAATTGTTGAGCTTGTTTTATGAATTGAGCAATTCATCGCGAGCGATTGAGCTCGTTTTATGAACTGAGAAGTTCATCTTGAGCTGTTGAGCTCGTTTTATGAAATCTCATAGGGATGAATCAAAGACTTGTAATTTTATTGAGAATAATCAAATTATAGAAGTGGCTTACGGAAAAAAATCTCTTAAGATGTTCTGCATTTCAAGAGTGAGGTAGGATTTCCCCTTCCTCTGTTTGTAACTCATAGTTCCCTGGTCTGACCACCCGTGAGATGATATAAGGAGCTTCCCAATTAGGCCCTAGCTTCCCATGAGTATGGTCCTTTCTTGTTAACAAAAGTTTTCTGAGTACCAGGTCTCCCACTTTGAAGCTTCTGTGTCTAACCTTTCTGTCATAGTACCTGGCTGCTTTCCTTTGGTAGTCCCTGATGCGATGCAGAGCTGCCTCCCTCTTCTCTTCCAAGAGATCTAAACTCAATAGAAGTGACTCGTCATTACGTCCATCGTCTGTGAATTCAGTCCTGGGGGATGGAAGCCCAACCTCAACGGCTGCCACTACTTCAGTTCCAAAGGCCAAGACAAATGGTGTTTCTTGAGTAGCTGACCTGACAGTTGTTCTGTAGGCCCATAATACTNGGTTTTATTTTTCAGGCATCAGACCAGAACTCAGCGCTGTAGATGAGCGAATTTTAAGGAGTTTGGCCAACTGTAATTCAGAAAGATATTTAGAGCTCATCCAGCCCCAAGTTCTTGTAGAGCTTTATTTTAGCCCTCGTGAGGTGAAGATTGAGAATCTCATTCCTCTTTCCGTCGTCAATGCTGAGGAAGTTGTAGGTTTGTTTCCTCTCTCCTGCCTTTAGGCTTTTTGCCTCTTGTTCTTCTCCCTCTTTTTTTTTTTAACTTGTTCTTATGCTTCTAGGCTCTTCCACTATGCGGCCTTCCCNTGTACCATTTAGGTCTTCCAACTTGGTTTTCAGGGCCATTTTTATAGTCCTGATAGTGACCTCTGTTTGTCCGTTGGATTGGGGATGAGCTGAAGTTGAAAAGTAATTCTTAATCTTGAGCTCAGCACAAAATTTCCTGAACTTAGGGTTGTCGANGTGCTTGAGGCTAAGGTTGCCCTGTTAAAGAAAAGCAGGGGTGGGGCTAAGCATAAGGCCGAGCTTGGTTCTAGCGGCAACATCCTTCCTCCCGCTAAGGCCTCCAAGGTAGGTGTGCCTTCCGCTTCCACTATACCTGCTCAAATGGTGTTTATCCCATCACCAAGTGTTTCACCACCTGTCAAGACCTCTTCTCCCCATGGGCTCCTTCTTACTCCTAAGGGGGCTCCTGAGTCGACCTCCCCCACTCCAACTGAGGTCGAGAAGGCATTAGTGTCAGTGACTCAAGTCTTGCTTGTCTATGTTTCTTCTGGGCTGCCTGGGAAGTCTCTATTACCTTCCCGAAAAAGTCCCAAGAATGAGAAGGGGAAGCAGGCTAAGGACGAGAAAGGGGATGACTCTTTCCTGGATGATGCTGAGCTCGCTGTAGGTGCTCTTGACTCCATCATTCCCCTCTCTGATGTCCAGAGGGCTGCAGCCTTGCCACTTGAGAACTCTGTCAACGCAACTTTGCATGGGGCTGCTACGATAAGTTCTCCTTTCATTTGTTTAGTAACTCCATCTTTTGGCAATCGCTTTATGTTGAATTTTCAATCCTTGCTGCCCTTGCTCCCGGATGGCCATCTACACGAAGGGGTTGTTAAGTCGAATCCGAGACCTGAAAAGCTCTACAAGGGCTTTTGAACTCAAATGTGCCGAGCTAGCCTTTGCCAATCATGACTTCCAAATCCAAATTCAGGACTTGCAAACACAAGTGGAAAAGCAAACTTCAACCATTGAGACCTTAGAAGCGAATGAAGAGAAAATTCAAAAAGAGCTCAAGCTTAAGATTGATGCCTGGGCCAAAGCTAGTCAGGAAACATCGGAGGCCCTAAGCTCTTACAGGAACATGAAAAAGGAGTACGACGTCCTGGCTGAGGTGAATGACACTCTTCAAAATGAGCTTGAGGCACAAAAGGTCGTGGTGAAGAAGAAGGATGCCCTCGTTGATAAGCTAATGGATGACATTACAACTAAATGGGCTACTGGAGGACTTGCCTTTCAAGAACGGGCTGAAGAAGCGTACCCTAACTTGAGCTTCGACTTTGAGATTCCTCCTCAACACGAGGAGGAAGAGGCTAACACAGGGGATGCGGGTGTGGATCCTGAGCTTCTTCTTGGTGATGCGCCAGTCCCTCCGACTCTGTGCTCCTCCCTTTCTTCGGTTGCCCCAGTTGTCCTTACTCTAGAAACTGTTCCTGTCCAAGTAGCTGCCCAACTCCCTTACAGTTCTTCCACTTCATCTCTTGTTATTCCTCTTGCTACAGATCTTATGACCAGGGCTCTTGCCCAAAGCTCGCCAGGAGCAGAAACTGAGATCCCAGCTTCTGGTCTTCCAGAGAACTTTATTACTGATCAACCAGGAAGCTTGCTTGCTACTCTACTAGGAGAGTCAACTGCTGGCTTATCAGGCTTCTCTCCTCCTACTTCTATTTAAATCCTAAGGGAGATATCTCTCTTTTTTTTTTTTACATGGTTGGGACTCTTTGCTTTTAAATGTAAATTTGATGCCAATGTTCAACTCTTGGCCATTTGAAGTAGATTTGAGATTTTTGTTGTAGCTTCACTTGCTTGTCGTGCCTTCTCTTTTCCCTTGCCCCCGCTTCAAAGGGTCCTTTAGACTTCCTCGAAGTAAGCAAGTTTGGAATGGTCAGTAGAACTGAAGAATCCATTGAAAGCCATTTAGAGCTTGTCTGCGTGAGCTGTTGAGCTCGTTTGATGAACTAAGAAGTTCATCGTGAGTTGTTGAGCTCGTTTGATGAACTGAGAAGTTCATCGCGAGCTGTTGAGCTTGTTTTATGAACTGAGCAGTTCATCACGAATTGTTGAGCTTGTTTTATGAATTGAGCAATTCATCGCGAGCGATTGAGCTCGTTTTATGAACTGAGAAGTTCATCTTGAGCTGTTGAGCTCGTTTTATGAAATCTCATAGGGATGAATCAAAGACTTGTAATTTTATTGAGAATAATCAAATTATAGAAGTGGCTTACGGAAAAAAATCTCTTAAGATGTTCTGCATTTCAAGAGTGAGGTAGGATTTCCCCTTCCTCTGTTTGTAACTCATAGTTCCCTGGTCTGACCACCCGTGAGATGATATAAGGAGCTTCCCAATTAGGCCCTAGCTTCCCATGAGTATGGTCCTTTCTTGTTAACAAAAGTTTTCTGAGTACCAGGTCTCCCACTTTGAAGCTTCTGTGTCTAACCTTTCTGTCATAGTACCTGGCTGCTTTCCTTTGGTAGTCCCTGATGCGATGCAGAGCTGCCTCCCTCTTCTCTTCCAAGAGATCTAAACTCAATAGAAGTGACTCGTCATTACGTCCATCGTCTGTGAATTCAGTCCTGGGGGATGGAAGCCCAACCTCAACGGCTGCCACTACTTCAGTTCCAAAGGCCAAGACAAATGGTGTTTCTTGAGTAGCTGACCTGACAGTTGTTCTGTAGGCCCATAATACTTCTGGGAGGTGTTCCACTCATATACCCTTTAGGTCTTCCAACTTGGTTTTCAGGGCCGCTTTTATTGTCCTGATAGTGACCTCTGCTTGTCCGTTGGATTGAGGATGAGCTGAAGTTGAAAAGTAATTCTTAATCTTGAGCTCAGCACAAAATTTCCTGAACTTAGGGTTGTCGAATTGCTTTCCGTTGTCACAGACAATTGCCCTGAGAATACCAAACCTGCAAATTATTGATTTTCACGTGAAGTTCTGAATTTTCTGCTCCGTAATCGTAGCTAAGGGTTCTACTTCTGCCCATTTGGTGAAGTAGTCCACCCCAACAATGGCGAACTTACATTACCCCACGTTGGTAGGAAGGAGTCCTAAGATGTCTAAACCCCATTATTGGAAGGGCCATGGGCTAATAACTAGGGTTAGGAGCTATGGTGGACAATGGAGGATGTTGGCGTGTATTTGGCAGATCTTGCACCTTTTGACTAGATCTGAACCATCCTTGAGCATTGTGGCCCAGTAGTACCCCTGCCTTAACGTTTTCCCTGCCAGATCCCGGGCTCCTATGTGGTTGCCACAAACTCCCTCGTGAATCTCTCTGAGTTTGTAATTGGCGTCTTCACCCCCTCCCCCTACACACTTAAGAAGAGATGTTGAAAAGCTCGCTTGTATAAGTTTTCCTGCAAAATAGAAAATCTAGCTGACTTGGTTCTTAGCTTGGCAACTTCTTTGGGATCTTCTGGCAAAGTTCCATGTTGAAGGTACCCTATGATGGGGTCCATCTAGCTTGGTGGGGCTTGCACAGGTAGTGCTTCTTCATCCTCAATACACACAGACAGTTCTGCAAGGTGCTCTACTGGAATTAGCCTGTCCAAGCTCTCCTGCGAGGTTGTTGCTAATCTTGCCAAAGCATCTACTTGCGAGTTCTCGATTCTTAGAACATATCTAATCTTAACTTGCACGAACTTCTTGATCAACTCTTGTGCCTTTCTGAGGTAAAAGACCATCTTCCCACCTTTAGTTTCATAAATCTCCTCTATCTATTTTACCACCAACTGAGAATCACTGCAAATCTCCAACTGCTCAACTTCCANTACGCCAGTCCCTCCGACTCTGTGCTCCTCCCTTTCTTCGGTTGCCCCAGTTGTCCTTACTCTAGAAACTGTTCCTGTCCAAGTAGCTGCCCAACTCCCTTACAGTTCTTCCACTTCATCTCTTGTTATTCCTCTTGCTACAGATCTTATGACCAGGGCTCTTGCCCAAAGCTCGCCAGGAGCAGAAACTGAGATCCCAGCTTCTGGTCTTCCAGAGAACTTTATTACTGATCAACCAGGAAGCTTGCTTGCTACTCTACTAGGAGAGTCAACTGCTGGCTTATCAGGCTTCTCTCCTCCTACTTCTATTTAAATCCTAAGGGAGATATCTCTCTTTTTTTTTTTTACATGGTTGGGACTCTTTGCTTTTAAATGTAAATTTGATGCCAATGTTCAACTCTTGGCCATTTGAAGTAGATTTGAGATTTTTGTTGTAGCTTCACTTGCTTGTCGTGCCTTCTCTTTTCCCTTGCCCCCGCTTCAAAGGGTCCTTTAGACTTCCTCGAAGTAAGCAAGTTTGGAATGGTCAGTAGAACTGAAGAATCCATTGAAAGCCATTTAGAGCTTGTCTGCGTGAGCTGTTGAGCTCGTTTGATGAACTAAGAAGTTCATCGTGAGTTGTTGAGCTCGTTTGATGAACTGAGAAGTTCATCGCGAGCTGTTGAGCTTGTTTTATGAACTGAGCAGTTCATCACGAATTGTTGAGCTTGTTTTATGAATTGAGCAATTCATCGCGAGCGATTGAGCTCGTTTTATGAACTGAGAAGTTCATCTTGAGCTGTTGAGCTCGTTTTATGAAATCTCATAGGGATGAATCAAAGACTTGTAATTTTATTGAGAACAATCAAATTATAGAAGTGGCTTACGGAAAAAAATCTCTTAAGATGTTCTGCATTTCAAGAGTGAGGTAGGATTTCCCCTTCCTCTGTTTGTAACTCATAGTTCCCTGGTCTGACCACCCGTGAGATGATATAAGGAGCTTCCCAATTAGGCCCTAGCTTCCCATGAGTATGGTCCTTTCTTGTTAACAAAAGTTTTCTGAGTACCAGGTCTCCCACTTTGAAGCTTCTGTGTCTAACCTTTCTGTCATAGTACCTGGCTGCTTTCCTTTGGTAGTCCCTGATGCGATGCAGAGCTGCCTCCCTCTTCTCTTCCAAGAGATCTAAACTCAATAGAAGTGACTCGTCATTACGTCCATCGTCTGTGAATTCAGTCCTGGGGGATGGAAGCCCAACCTCAACGGCTGCCACTACTTCAGTTCCAAAGGCCAAGACAAATGGTGTTTCTTGAGTAGCTGACCTGACAGTTGTTCTGTAGGCCCATAATACTTCTGGGAGGTGTTCCACTCATATACCCTTTAGGTCTTCCAACTTGGTTTTCAGGGCCGCTTTTATTGTCCTGATAGTGACCTCTGCTTGTCCGTTGGATTGAGGATGAGCTGAAGTTGAAAAGTAATTCTTAATCTTGAGCTCAGCACAAAATTTCCTGAACTTAGGGTTGTCGAATTGCTTTCCGTTGTCACAGACAATTGCCCTGAGAATACCAAACCTGCAAATTATTGATTTTCACGTGAAGTTCTGAATTTTCTGCTCCGTAATCGTAGCTAAGGGTTCTACTTCTGCCCATTTGGTGAAGTAGTCCACCCCAACAATGGCGAACTTACATTACCCCACGTTGGTAGGAAGGAGTCCTAAGATGTCTAAACCCCATTATTGGAAGGGCCATGGGCTAATAACTAGGGTTAGGAGCTATGGTGGACAATGGAGGATGTTGGCGTGTATTTGGCAGATCTTGCACCTTTTGACTAGATCTGAACCATCCTTGAGCATTGTGGCCCAGTAGTACCCCTGCCTTAACGTTTTCCCTGCCAGATCCCGGGCTCCTATGTGGTTGCCACAAACTCCCTCGTGAATCTCTCTGAGTTTGTAATTGGCGTCTTCACCCCCTCCCCCTACACACTTAAGAAGAGATGTTGAAAAGCTCGCTTGTATAAGTTTTCCTGCAAAATAGAAAATCTAGCTGACTTGGTTCTTAGCTTGGCAACTTCTTTGGGATCTTCTGGCAAAGTTCCATGTTGAAGGTACCCTATGATGGGGTCCATCTAGCTTGGTGGGGCTTGCACAGGTAGTGCTTCTTCATCCTCAATACACACAGACAGTTCTGCAAGGTGCTCTACTGGAATTAGCCTGTCCAAGCTCTCCTGCGAGGTTGTTGCTAATCTTGCCAAAGCATCTACTTGCGAGTTCTCGATTCTTAGAACATATCTAATCTTAACTTGCACGAACTTCTTGATCAACTCTTGTGCCTTTCTGAGGTAAAAGACCATCTTCCCACCTTTAGTTTCATAAATCTCCTCTATCTATTTTACCACCAACTGAGAATCACTGCAAATCTCCAACTGCTCAACTTCCATCGAGTGAGTAAGATTAAGCCCGACAATGACGATTTCATACTCTGCCTCATTGTTTGAAGCTTTAAACCCAAATCTGAGGTCGTACTCGACGTCTATCCCATCTGAATAGGTTAGTATCAGGCCTGCGCCACTTCCTTGAGCATTAGCAGCTCCATCCATAGAGAGCTTCCATGCAGGAAGGTCAGGTACTAGCTGCGTTGCTTCCATAGGTGCTGGTGTTGTAAATTCAGCGATGAAATCTACTAAAACTTAACCTTTGACCACAATTCTAGGTTTAAATCTGATGTCAAACTCGCTGAACTCTATGACCCACTTTATCAGCCTCCTCGAGGACTCTGGCTTATGCAGCACTTGTTTCATTGGTTGTTCTGTTGGAACCTCGATGGTATGAGTATGGAAATAGGGTCTAAGTCTCCTAGTCGTAATTACCAATACTAAAATAAGCTTTTTCATTTTTGGATACCTCTCCTCTGCCCCCCCCCTCAGAGCTCTGCTGCAGTAATAGACTGGTTGTTGGGACCTGTCTCACTCCCTCACCAAAGCTGCACTAGTTGAGAAATCTGAAACAGCTAGATAGAGGGTTAGTATCTCCCCCTCCAAGGAACTTATCAGGACTGAAGGGGAGCTCAGGTAAGCCTTCAAGGCTTTGAATGCTTCTTCACATCGGGCATCCCATTGGAACACCTTTTTTAGGACCTGAAAGAAAGGTTAACACTTGTCGCTCGATCTGGAGACAAAACGACTTAAGGCAGCTATTCTTCCTGTCAGGCGCTGGACCTCCCTCACATTAGACGGTGGTTGCATATCTAGAACTGCTTTAACCTTTTCGGGGTTAGCCTCAATCCCTCTACTACTGACTATGAAGCCCAGAAACTTCTCTGCGAACACTTCGAAGGCACATTTCACAGGGTTGAGTTTCATCTTGTATTCCCTAAGGACCTGGAACAATTCGGTAAAATGCGTAATGTGGAGCTCCGCTTTCAGCGAATTTACCATCATACCGTAGATATAGACCTCCATGTTCATCCCAATTTACCTCTGGAACATTTGATTCACTAAACGCTGGTAGGTGGCTCCTGCGTTTTTTAACCCGAAATGCATAACCTGATAACAATACATTTCATGCTCAGTCACAAAGAGGCCTTCTCTTGGTCTGCTGGATCCATCCTGATTTGATTATATCCTGAGAAAACGTCCATGAAGCTGAGGAGCTCGTGTAGAGCTGTGGCATCCACTATTAGGTTGATCCGACGTAATGGAAAGCTGTCCTTGGGGCATGCCCGATTGAGGTCTGTGAAGTCAATACAAAATCGCTACTTGCCATTGGCTTTTTTGACAAGAACCACATTGGCTAACCAGGTAGGGTAGTCAACTTCCTTGATGGCTTTGGCGTGGAGAAGCTTGCTGACTTCCTCGTTGATTGCCTTTTGGCGCTCTGAGGTAAAACTTCTTCGTTTCTGCTTGATAGGTTTGCAGGTAGGATTCACACTTAACTTATGTGTGATAATTGAAGGGTCAACCCCTTCAATGTCCTCCTGTTTCCAGGCAAATACCCTCATGTTGTCCTTTAGGAATTGGATGAGAAGATCTTTTATCTCCCTGCTTAGTTTGGATTCAACGTAAACGAGGTGCTCTGGCTTCTCATCAAGCTGAACAGACTCCAGTTCCTCTGTTGGCGTTGACCTAGTGTCCAGTTTGTCTCTCATATCGAACTCATCTAACTGGACATTTTCAACTTCTTTCTACTTCACCGAGGTCATGTAGCACTCCCTTGCTACACGCTGGTCTCCTCGGACTACTCCAACCCCATTCTCTGTTGAAAACTTTATCATCAGGTGATAGGCTGAGGGGATTGCCTTCATCGCGTTGAGGGTGTGTCTCCTGAGTAGCATATTGTATGCAGAAGGGGCATCAACCACCAGGAATCTTACTGTGGTGGTGGCCTGGCAAGGTGGGTCTCCCATAGGAAGGACTAGCTGGATTGAGCCCAGGGACAATATCCTCTCTCCTACGAACCCCAATAGGTGAGTGCAGACTGGTTCCAACTTCTCCCTGCCTATGCCCATTTTTTCAAAAGCAGAAGTAAAAATGATGTCGGCCGAACTCCCGTTGTCAATTAGAACTCGGTGAACAGTTCTATTTGCCACAACTGCTCTTACCACAAGTGGATCATCATGGAGATATTGGTAACCTTCTAAGTCTGAGTCTGAAAAAGTGATGGTTGTGCTCAGCCAATGTGCCTTGGACACAATGTGTACTTCCAATGTTTCGCTAGCTCTAATTCTACGCATGTGAGCCTTCCTGGTTGAACTGGACTCCCCGCCCTCTGCGAATCCCTCGAATATTACTCTGATTTTCCCTAGGGGTTGCTGGTGTTGCACAGGAGCTTGTTGTTGAAGTAGTGGAGGTGGCGGAGCACGGTTCTGATTATCTTGAGCTACGTAGCGACGCAACTGCCCCCATTGGATCAGAAACTCGATCTCTTTCTTTAATTGGATGCAATCATCAGTGTGGTGACCATGATCTCTACGGTACTCGCAATACTTCATGGAATCTCTTTTTGTCGGGTCTGCTTTCATCCGGGGTGGCTACCTTAGGAATTTATCGTTCTGCACCTCATAAAAGATCTGTGATATTGTTATAGTGAGATGAGGGGGCTGCCGAGGTGCGTATCTCAACTGCAACTCTGGCTGCGGTGGTCCTAGGCGATCTTTGACGTCTCCCCTCCTCTAGAGGGAGCGATCCCTGTCTTTTCTTGGAGACCTATCTCTAACTCTTTCTCTTTTGGGACTTTGGCTCCTCTTCCTTTCTTCTTTTCCTTTGTCTTTTTGCATGGACGAGCTCCCTACCTTTGAGAGGAGTACTTCCTCGCTGTTTATGTATTTTTTTGCCTTGGCCAGCACCTCAGCCATACTGGCCTGAGGGTTCTTCGAAATAGAGAACATCAAATCTGTGGACTACATGCCTAACTCAGCTATAAATGCGATGATGACAAACTTTTCATTTGGGACATCTACTTTTAGTGACTCCGAATTGAACCTTTGGACATAAGACCTGAGGTTCTCTTGGGGTCCTTGTTTCACATTCAGTAAGTAGTAGCTCGGCTTTCGATATGTCCAAGCTCTTATGAAGTGATATACAAAGGATATGGAAAGCTCCTTAAAAGAAGATATCGAAGCGGGGGGAACCTATTGAACCGCGTTAGGGCTGATCCCTTCAATGTGATAGGAAAGGCTCTACAGCGCACAGGATCTTGATATCCATGTAGCTCCATCTAGTTCTTGTAGGTATTGAGGTGATTCATGAGGTCTTTTGTCCCATCAAAAACTTCTATCTGCGGCATTCTAAAATTTAGGGGGAGGGGAAAATGTAGCACACTAGTAGTGAAATGAGACTCGGTCTATTGCACCAGGGCATCCATTTTTACTGGGCTTTACTCTTCATAGCTTCCTTCATGTGGCTGAGCTCTTGCTGGATGTCCTTGAAGCACTGCTCCCAGTATTGTTCTCTCCTCTCCTGCTGGTAAGGGAAAAAGTCATTCCTCTCACCCCCATCGTTTTGACTTTGCACTTCTTCATTGTGCCCATTCCCAAGAGGTTGATGGGGAACCTGTCCTAAGGTCTGGCTATTTTTTCCTCCCTCATTAACTTCTCTGAGGGGATCGAGGTGTTGCTGTTCTCTGTGAGGTGGGTTATTCTGACCTTCTTGGGCCGGTCGTGCCTCCTAAGAACGTTGTAGGAGCTTCAAAAGCTCCTCGTTCTGCTGTAACAGATGTTGATTAGCTAGGCGGAGGATCTCTAACTCGTTATTCACAGGGGATTCCCCACGGGAGGATTAGCCCCTATGACGCTCTCGGGTAGTCTGCCGATGATAGTTTCCTTTTGATNTTTATTTTTTTGTGCCTTTCGACACAAACAATAACTAATAATACTTTATAAAACTAGATTTTTTATTAAATCTTAAATACCAAATGATGTGAAACGTGGGAATCATTATCTGATCGGTGAGAATTAATGAGACCAACTAATNACCATCAGTTACTGAAAGATCAGTGTAATTGTAATAGGAACAATCGTTCCCACAGACGGTGTCAAACTGATGGTGTAAACTCGCGCAGATAGAATAAAGAGGATGAATGACTTCCGGTAACCTAGAACTGAGCTACAAGGCTCGTGAAAATTGCATATGAATTATTGGGGAATGGGGGAGATTGCAGAGTGATATTATAGTGGTTCACCGACCCAAGAGCTCGGCTAGTCCACTCTTGAATGGAGATTTTTATTTTTCTTGTTTCAGAAGTGGGGAATGTGTTTTTTTCCGTTTCTCAACCTCTGGTCTTCCTAGGGTTATACACACACGTTTTACTAGAGGCATCGTACTATATTTATAGAGCAGCTCCTAGTTTCGTAGGATTTGCACCGAAATCCATGTCATTTATTTGGGGGATTTTCCTTGATTTTTGGGAGAGGATTTTGGCTGTTTTGGGGTTATTTGCCTTGAATACAACTCTCTGCTGCCTGTAAGGTTCCTGCTAATATCAAGATGTCCTCTCTACCTTTTTGCTATTGTCTTGCCTAGGGGGAGCTCTAGCTCTGACCCTCTGAGCTCTGCGTGACTTGTCTGACTTCTTGTTTGAGGTCATACTTGGAAGTTTTTCTCACAGTATCATCAATTTTAAAATTAATTTGACAGCTAATATTAACATCTCAAATTTAATAGAGAAAATAAATCTCTAAAAATGTGTTTGAAATGACTTTTTAAAAGAGTTTTCAAAAATAATAATTTCTCATAAATACTTTAAAAAAAAATAGTAATGCTACATGAACTTAAAAACTAGATTTTAAAATTAGACTTGATAATCACAACTATTGAATAAGTAGTAGATCTCAATAAATGCTGGGATCCACAATGAAATCATTGATTATAATTATCAAGTCTAATTTTTAAATCAATGTAGCATTACTCAAAAAAAAAATTAGTGTTTCGAACCGTCCCACCACCACTGCCATCACCACCCCTCCCGCCCCACCACCATCATCTGCACTACCCCCTACCACCACCACTTTCTACCATCACCCCTATCGCTCCACAATCACCTTTACGACCATCATCGTAACTGTCATCACCTCACAACTGTCACTACCACCGCTCACTCCTACTATAATAGATATTTTAATTTTATGTGTGAATACAAATATATTTATTATTAATCATTTTTTTTTTTATTTTTTTGTGCCTTTCGACACAAACAATAACTAATAATACTTTATAAAACTAGATTTTTTATTAAATCTTAAATACCAAATGATGTGAAACGTGGGAATCATTATCTGATCGGTGAGAATTAATGAGACCAACTAATTTGGAAGAAAATTTTGAAGTGTAGCGTTGTTCTAACAATAGACGTGACGTTATTGAATTAGTTGTCCGTCGTGTTAACTTTGGTTTAGATAACTATAACATAATTTATTAAGTTGGTGTAATAAGTTAATCACAGTAAATCTTTCATCACATTAAGATTTAAGTTATATCTAGTAATCTTTCATCACATTCATATCAACGTACACATTTTTATGCGATGAATCTAAACGGTTTCCGAACAATAATGACAAACCAACAAAAATATGTAAATTACAAAAATTTAATAGTAAAATTACTTGAACTAAATTTATTTATCAAACTTGTTGACGGGATTTAGTGTTCTCGTTAACTAAATAAGAAATCTTCATCTAACATTGAGATCTTATACTAACTCCACGATAACCTAAATTTAATCAACAAATTTGAAGGAAATAACATTTTTCTTGAGACTTAAAAGCGTGAGAGGTGAAAAAATAATTTGGACTTATGGATGCTGACGATGATTTCGACCCCCCTTTCTGGCCTCCACAACCGTTGGTTCATGCGAATCACACACTTGGGTCTTAAACTTACACCCAAACTTCCTTGTCAGCGAATTCCTCCAACCTTTACCACCATCGTCCGATCCCATCTTATCAATCGCCTTCTTCATCGTCGAACACTCACGCTCCAGCTCCTGCACTCGCGTCCTCATGCTATCCATGTCCAGCCGCAGCACCTGATTCTCACTCACTGCTGCCCTCCACGTGACAAGGCTCTCCTGCGTAGGTGCTGCCCCAACTGCCACTCCCACTCCCACTCCCACTCCTGTGCCCTCGTCCTCTTCTTCCTGTTGTAGATTCGAAGGCCTTCCCGTATCCACCGCAGGAACCACGTCGGCGGCGAGCAATGTTCCGGCAATTGCTTGCCGCAGCTGAAGCTGCTCGAAGAACAGTACTTGAACCACCGCTCTCAATGGAAGCCTCTCGTTTTGAGCGGCGTGAGTGCACGCCTCTAAGGTCAGCTTCTGGCAATCAATTATTCCGCAGATTTTCTCCCGTTCCTCCGATGATAGCCATTGATGCGCCTGTAAATGCAAGATAATACATAGCTCAGATCAACGATAAGCTCACAACATTCACGGTGGATAGAAAAAGTAATTGATCGAATATCCTACCTTGAGATATACATCGACGGCTCTGTAGAGGCCGTCGTCGAAGAGCCTAGCGTGGTCCGGCAGAGCAACGGCCATCTCACAGAACTTATCTGGCCTCAAATTAGCATCCGAAGCTATTTCCGATAAGTAACCGTCGATTAATTTTCCGACCAGCATTAACGCCGCCGATCTGACGCTACTGTTCTCGCCTTCCCCTTCAATTCTACCCGCTGATCTCTCTTCCAATCCATGAAGAAACTGGCCTAAAATTCTTTCAACACAGTGCACATCATATAGTGTTTCATTCAGATAAGAGTAGCTAGGTATGAGTAGATCATCTAATGTGGCTTGTTCTAGCTGTGATCCAATTTTCTTCTCCAGAGCAGCTCGACATGCCTCTGAAGCGTTCAGAATGTTCGCTGTCCTCAACAATCCGAACAAAAACCTTGTTGCCGTTGAAGATCCTGAGCTCCTTTCTTTTGGAAGGTTAGCAATTATAGTCTCGAGAAGTTCTCTCTGTTCGTTCTCTGAGGGTATTGAGGACGATGATGGCTTCCGATTGGAACGAGAAATGCCTGGAATGTACTTCTTGGCGTAGTATATGAGGCAGTTTTCGATTATCTCCGAACTCAGATCTCCAGCTTTCATGGCAAAGATCAAACGCTTGAATAACGGTAGACTCAAAAGCCCTAATTCTTCAAACCAAGCATCCGGACCAGTCCCTCTAGCAGCGCCTTTTCGCCTCGCACCAGTTTCGAAGGCCTGGTTTAAAGTTCCTTTACCATTTACAGCACCTTCATTCACCGGCCATCCGAACAACGTCGGATCGGTGGTAGAAGCTCTCCCGGCGATAGCGTCGATGCACCTCTGAACAATGCCTAAGGTCTCAGCCACAGGCATCAATTTCTCACACGAGTTTAGAGTTTTGATAGAATCTTTGAGGCTTTTGAGGACTGATTGGGAAAGAAACCTCTCAGTTTTGGAAATGAGATTGTCTTCGGAGTACTCTTCAGTCATTTCCAAGAACTCTCCGGCACACCGGAGTGGAGCTACATTTGACGACGACAGCTCAATCTTCACACCGTAACTGAACTTCGCCGCCGTCTCGAATGTCTCAGAACCTCCCGGAAAATCCGTGAGTGAGATGTGACAGTACTGGTCCTCTTCGATCTCTCCCTCAACATCGTTATCTGGTTCAGAGGTTGCTTGGATTTTAGTAGGGTTTGTCTCGTGCTCTGTTATCAGCTCGTGAAGCTTTCTACTTTTCGACATCAAAGGGAACTGAAAAATTCACACAGACAAAAACACAGACGGTTGGTATGCAAAGAGAAACCTTACTGAGCTTGAAGACTACAACCCTTAACACAACTGAACTGACCTTATGGAGATGGAAGGTCATATCGTCGACTTCGATTACGACGTCGCTTGGTAATCCGGTGGTACAAAACCTGCAAAAAATTAATGCCAAGGAAAGATCAATAATGGCGATAGAAATCTGTATGAAGTAGCTGAACAAGAAGAGTTCAAGGAATTGAAGTTAAAAGTATACTCTCACCATGCTTGGCCTTTGGAACTCGGCTTCTCAGCTGCCATTCCTGGAAGTACTCTGAACCTCAACTTTGAATTAAACTACTAATTACACCAGATCCATGAACATCAAAGAAGAAAGAAACAAAAGACCTTTGAAAGAAAACCCTATTCACCCCTAAAAATGAAGATCACTTTGTATATATAGCAGAAGGAAGAGAGAGAGAGAGAGAGAGAGAGAGAGAGGGGGGAAATTCGAGACTTATGAAATGATTATGTGTGTGGAAAAATCAAAGAAAGGTATATATAGAAGAGATTGGAATCAAAAAACTGAGAAAGAACAAATGGGAATGGGAGGTGCTTTGAAAGAAAATCAAAAAAGGGGTATGATGATTTCTTTACCGGAATTTCTTCCTTCTTTTTTGAATCAGATCAGAATCTTCTTTGTTTTCTCCCTCCAGATCGTGAAGAAGAAGAAAAGGTGGGGTTTGATTCAGAAAGGATGACTTTTTTTTTTCTTTGGATCAAAAGAAAGGATGACTTTGAATTTCTCTTTTTATTTAAGACATTATCGGTATCATGATCCCATTACAAGGGCACCAAAAACACGCATTGCTTGCCAACTGGATTTATTGCTTTTTGCAACAAAATATTTGAATATTTTGGGTTGGTTGGGTTTGGTGGGTGCGTAGTGTAATGCGCCTCTAGGATGATAATGCTTTAAATAATGTCAATTACAAAATACAAAATACAAAATAAAAAAACGTACTTATGAATTTAATACTAATTAATTCAAATAAAATTCGGTTCATTTGTTAGATATATTTAGATAGTGGGTTATAATACGAGATTAATTAAAAATAATACAATGATAATTTGGTATTATATACGTATGGTACATGTAAAAAGTTATATCTCTTATTTATTGTGTTTGATTTGATTTGGTCAGAGAAAGATGAATAGGAATTGAATTGGTGGTCCTGCAAAACGAGTAGACGGTCAAATTGGGGTAGACCGATCGGAAAGACTCTGATGGTTAAGTTAATAACGACTCTAATAGAACGCAAAGTAATTTATAAGGATTGTAGTATATACATATGCCTCAGGCTTAACATAATTTTTATAAGGTCTATGCCATGATTTTTGCTTTCGGATTTGTTACATGACACATCTAATGTTTAGATGAATCGATTTTGAATATTAGGATCTCTCTTAAACTTTTTCTCCATTACGTGTGTTTTATAAATGTGTGGTAAATACTCACTTATGATTAAGGCAACAAACCCATCAATTCAATCGTGCCTTAATCTCATGCTTGTTGAAGTCGTGTCGAACACTAGTCATCTACTTGATTTGATTATGATGGACATTATTTTTCTCACTTATTAACTATCTCAATCATGCACAATCGTTTTATATTTCTTCGGTACATATTGAAATAACAATTATATATGAATTGAATTTGCATTGAACAAATTTTAATACTGTAACTTATTAGAGACGATTGTATATTTATTGAATTTGATTACCTATTGATCGTATACAATCCAGGGTGTCCACAATTGAGGAAACAAGTGGCTGGTCCATGTTGTGAGTTTTCAAGTTGATGTCATTATTTTGGTTTGATTTGTTTTGTTCCCCTTAGTGGGCCACCACAGTTCCTAATTGATTTTTTTTTTTTATTAAAGGGCGTTGTTGATATACAAAATGCTTCTACATTATAGGGCTATAATGACCTCCAAATGAATGGTCCCAAGGTTGGTCCATTCCCACTGGTTTCCCCATCAATCAACCTCTAATCTCAACTAGGGAGGGGCATGTTCCAAAAAAAAATAAAAAATCTAGGGGTGGTTAAGACTGGTTAAGGGTAACAGTGAATTAGTCAGGATTATAGTTTTTGGACTAATGTTGATCTCAAAAAATGTTCATCATGATGGATAATCGGAATTGTGACTCGGCAGTCGACAAGATATAATGGGACTTCGGTGATCGACTATTTGATGATAAAATTAAATATAAATGATTAAAAAATATGAAATTTAGCTAAGAATAGTCAACTTACCTAGATGACGCCCAATTTAACCTTTTTATAGGTCAAAAGATAGACCATTGGAAGATCTTTAACTATTATTTGAATAGAACGATACTAAAAGTGAATCAGAAGATAGTACATTCTAACGTAAGTATTTCAATTGATTTGAATTAGTTAAAGCATACAGAGCTAAGGAACTGTTGAGTTGAGATGCTGGCAAGCAAGTTAGTGAGGACCTTTTCGAGCCATGGAGCTCATCTTCCGAGCGGCAAAGCTCATGTGTCGAGAACGTGCCTAATTTATTGTTATCAAATATTATTTTAATTATTAAGTTTTAAGTTCGACCCAAACTTCACAAACTCACGAGCGTAAAATTATGTTTGAACGTGACTTGTTTATTACACGGATTGATTATGAATTAATCCAAGTCAAATCCAAATACAGTCGAGATCAGACCACACTACTCATTTTGGGTAGCTTATTTATTTTATGGGGGCTCATAGGTACAGTATGACCCACATAATTAAAGGAAGGTCAGCAATATCATCAAAATGGTTCAAATTGCCTAGTTTTTGAATCTTCGTACCCCGCCTTCTGGTTTCAGACCTGAACTCAAAATATGGTGCCTGTCTTTATGGTCTTCGTCGAGCCGAGTTTTAGAGTTTGAGTTCGGGTCTGTCGAGTTTACTTTTTTGAATTAGTTTTAAAAATTGTTCAACCTTAACTTATTAAGAACTCGAGCTGAATTCTAGTAACTAAATTATATTAAGTTCATTTTTCTAAACAAACTTAAAAAATTATTTATATTTAATTTATTTAGAACATGAGTTAAACTTGAGTCTAGTCTAATCCAAATTGAACTGAACCCGACCCAAACCCAAATAAGGGATCTCGATTAACCCTCCTACTTGTGTTGCCATTAATAACAACATATCTACCCACTCCCCTTTCATCCCACCATATTAATTGCTATTTTAAAGAAGTGACAGGGGATGCACCATCTCTATGTTAATCACCCATTTTTAGTGGGGGCCTCTGGAATATTTTCAAATACAAAAATAGTCATGTCTATTAAATATGTGAAATGATTTATTTATATATTTATTTTATATATCAAGAAAAAATAGATCAATTATCTTGAACCATACAATGGATCCTTGCTAAATTTATATTGAATTCTTTGTGATGGAGAGAAATTTAGTTATAGCCCCAATTGATTGAAGAGTAAAAATCCTAGTTCCGTCTTTAAATTTTATATTCGGTTTTAATTTAGTCCTTATACATATCTCTATTTTAAATTAGTCTCATAATTATTAATTTCGTCTAAATTAAATCTCTCTATCAATTTTCACCATTAAATTAACTAAAAACTAATCCAATCTGATCTATTTCAGAGTTAATTTAATGGAGAAAATGGACAAAAAAAAATTAATTGGCATAAAATTGAGATAATTTAAAGTTTAAAGATCAAAATCAAAATTCAGAATCAACTATGAATTTTACCCTGATTGAATCATCGACGTGGAGTATTTAAAGCCTTTATTATCTGCATTCATGTGTTTCTGTGACTGACCATTCAACAAAAGTGCTTGAATGCCCATTTTTTGTGCAAATTTTGGTGCACATAGCATTGTTTTTAGATTATTATTCGGATTGTACTCACTCCTTTGAAAAAAAGGGGACAGTGCCGGAAAATAAAAATTGGTACTTTATCGATATTTACTATATTTGTAAATATTTTTATTATTATTGTAGGCATTTTTACCATAATTGTGGTATCGAAAAAAAATGGTAAAACTAATTAGCACAACAATAGTAAAAACATTCATAACAATCATAAAAATACCCACAAATGTAATAAATTACCTACAAAAAAGTGATAATTTTTTTTGTATTAAAAAAAGTGATAAAAACATTCACAATAACGGTAAAAATACTCATAAAAATGATAAATCATCTATAAAAGTGATAAAAAAAAATTTTATGTGAAATGACCCACAAAAATTATAAAATCAGCCATTAAAATAATTTGAGATTGTGACAATTTTTAGTGATCTAGAAAGGTCGACTCTTTTAGAGTTAGTGTTACACATTTAGGTCCTTTGAGTTTTTTTTTTTCAACGGTTAGAGATATTCGGACTAATTTATATATATTTCAATTAATTTTTTCTCTGATTAGGTCAAAAGAAAATCATCTACGTCAAGTTAGGGTATTGATAAGGAATAAATCACTCATGACTTGATTTCAATGAATTGTCAAGATTTAAACTCAGAATATCTGAATTTACAACTCATATTTATTATCACTTGAACTATCTTAAGATCAGTCTCTTGCTTTTATACATCATGTCATCTTAGACACAAGTTTAAAGTATTAAAACCGCATACTTGTTTCACTAATGCAATAGAAATTGCAAAGCATTATGTATATTTTGTATTATATTTGTTCACTTTCACGAGTCTAGACAAATCAAACAAGTCATAACTCTAACTAGGAGTGTCCATGGACCGAGCTTGGTTCACGAAATTTTTTTTAGGTTAAACCTGGGTAGAATAAGCTTAAACCTTTACTCAGGTGAGTAATCGAACGGATTAGGTCAGACTTTGGATAAAGGTAGGCAATGCACAAACCAACCCGTCACTCACTGGGTGGGTGTATTGGTGCTGACCTATGGGCTTGTTGGATGGGCGTACTAGACGGTTTTTTATATTCAACTTCATTTAGAAATAATTAATATTTTTGAATTAAAAGTATGTTTATGAAAAAAAAAAAAAAAATACATTATTTATAAAATCTAAATTTCTAAAACTTTGAATTCTGGTATTGAGAACTTATTTACACGTATTGACTAGGCTGGGGCAGGCAGACTCTTGGGCCGGATTTTAATAGACTTTTTTTGGACGGGTTTTGACCCAAATAATGGGTTAGGAGGTAGGTCCAAACCCTCTTTTGAAGGATATTGGACTCAGATTAGAACTGATCAACTATCAGGCTTATCAAATTTTAGACCTATTTTTTTTAGACCGGGTAACGAGACCCATGGGCTGTCTGGCCCATGAACAGCCCTAACTCGAGCTTTTCTCGCTTGTTAATAAGGTTGAAGTTTAGTTTAATTAAATAAAATATAATCTGAAGTCATCCCAAATTGTTCACGTCTAAAATAGTCCAATTGGTGTGGAGAAAAAATGGGTTGGCGGAAAACAAATGGATGAAAAATGAGATGAAAAATAGTCATCATTCAATTTTTTTAATCCGTCCAAATTCGGGCGAAAAAATTGAATGGAAATGTGGACAACATTGTGTTATTATATACACCTTCATGCCTTATGGGTGGCAGCTTGTCTTACACTTTTTAAAAAACAAATTGTACTTTGTTTTAAATTTTTATCTTAAGAAAGAAAACAATAAAAAAAAAAAGTCATCTATAGTAGAGAGAGAGAGAGAGAGGTTTTTCTTTCCTCTAACACTAAAAAATCAATACATACATTTTTTTGCATTGTACCTATTTTGTTATCCTTTCCACCAAAAAACATTGTTATTGTCAGCATAAATGTTTCTTCTAGTTGTTTTCTATTAAATTGTAGAGTTGTTTCGCACTTATGTGTTCGAACATCTCTGATCATTGAAGAGAAAAAAAAAAACAAAAAAGGCCGACAGGGTTGTTGGAAGGGGAAAAAGGAGCATAAAAAAGCATGAAAAAATGAGCCAAAAAGAGCCATTAACCATGACAAAAGTAAATAAGTTGGGCACCCTGCACAAGAACATAAAAAGTTGCAATTTTCAACTAATATTTTTGACATTCAACTTCAAAAGAGAGGGTTGGTCAATGCATATTGACCTTGATTACCCAACCCAGCACATTATTTCTACCATTGTTACTCTTCAAACGAGCTTTATTAAACATTATATTACTAACTAACTATATAGGATACGGTGGTATCCAATTAGACATGCATCCATTATTCATGATTAGGCCCACAATGAGTGCTAATATTAATATAAGCTTCTGTTGACCAGCATCCGAGGCATCTTCAAGAGTTCATCTTATCTGCACCCAAGAAACATTAAGAACCCAATTACTAGAGAAATTGTTTCATATTAAGTCGGGCGAATTGCACTTTACACTATGAAAGATTTTAAATTTTATTTTTCATCTTCAAAAATTAAATTTTTCATGTTGTACTTTCCATATATTAAAAATATTACAATACGACCATTCTGTTAATTTCTCGGTCAGGGTTAATGGGTTGACTTTTGACCAAAAAAATAAGGAAAATTAACAGAATTGTCATATTATAATACTTTTAATACATTGAAGGTACAATATGAAAAATTTAATTTTTAAAAATATAAAATAAAAAATTTTGAAATCTTCCCGTATACAAAGTGCGAAAAATCCTATTATGTCCAACAAAGTGCAGCTAATCGACAAAGTGCCTAGGTTTTATTCTTTTGTGCCTTAAAGGTAATTTGTTTTGTACCCTTCTTGGGTTGGTTTACCTTTTAGAATCAGGGGGATTGAGGGTTTTTTTATTTATAAATTGGAGTGCATTCATTCAATTCTCTTGTTTGTTGTGGGGCTGTTTTTCTATTTTTGATTTTGAAAGTTCAGCCTACTTTTAGGATGCACAAATCTTTCAAATGGTGATAAGGGAATGTGTGTCTATTTCATCCTAGAGATACTTCAAAGTTTAGTATTTTTTGCGGTCGTAATTCGTCGTTTTGTTATAAACTTATCATTATTACAATTCTATGGAAATCCAACTAAACAAAAATTTATATTGGAAGGCCGACAAATTCATCTTAAAATAGCTATCGTGTTTTGAATTATAGATTTCATCTTTTTCATCGTTATTATGAAATGCACTTCTAACAAGTGTTTAGTCTTGGACTGCAGTTGAAGGAGGTTTTTTTTTTTACAATTTGCTCTTCATATTACTACAAGAGTAAACTCTGGGACATAGACTTGGCCATATGCACTCTTGGCATAAGATAGCCACTCTCGAATTCAAACCTACAAACTCATAGTTATCTATCCTATCCCATCCTTTCACTCCAACACCAACTCTCAGATATGCGAATATTTGGCACATCAATAACTAATGGTTACGTGAAATTATCTAACAAACTTGTTATCCGAATGATCAAATTAATCAAGAATCGAATCAGAATCCAAATCAAAAAGATGTATGTTATCATCCGTTTTCAATCTCCATCGTTCCATTCATTATAATGTGAATTTTGCAGACTTACGCTTGTCAGTTGAAGTTGAACCTTCCAGTGGTTGCTCAGTCACCATCTCAGACGAAACAACCACCCCTGGCCAAGGGCGACACATGCAGTGCTTCCCTTTCTCAATGCCGGCAAAGAGTGTGGTAAGGTGCTTCCCGCACCCACGCCACGATGTCTTCCCGCATTGCTTGCACTCCACCCTTGAGCACATCCTTTTTTGGAATTCTTTGTCTCAAAGGAAGATGAATATTTGATACAGCCTCACATCTCCTACCCACTTCAGTTTTGTAGCATCACAGTTCTCTTGATTCTGTCGACCTTTGTGCTCTATGCAAACATCATGTGCAAACAATGAAACTACTTGGTATACTTCGCTTTACATAGTAAACCCCACCCACCAAATGTTCTTTTAGAGGGGCTCTATTCGCTTTATAAAATATGATCCAAACTCGATCCGTTAACAAGCCTAACTCCAATACCTTGTTGGCCACAAAGTCCGAGGCTGCTGCTTAATAGTAAACAATTTGCATCTCTGTGACAATCAATAGGAATCNGAAATCTTCCCGTATACAAAGTGCGAAAAATCCTATTATGTCCAACAAAGTGCAGCTAATCGACAAAGTGCCTAGGTTTTATTCTTTTGTGCCTTAAAGGTAATTTGTTTTGTACCCTTCTTGGGTTGGTTTACCTTTTAGAATCAGGGGGATTGAGGGTTTTTTTATTTATAAATTGGAGTGCATTCATTCAATTCTCTTGTTTGTTGTGGGGCTGTTTTTCTATTTTTGATTTTGAAAGTTCAGCCTACTTTTAGGATGCACAAATCTTTCAAATGGTGATAAGGGAATGTGTGTCTATTTCATCCTAGAGATACTTCAAAGTTTAGTATTTTTTGCGGTCGTAATTCGTCGTTTTGTTATAAACTTATCATTATTACAATTCTATGGAAATCCAACTAAACAAAAATTTATATTGGAAGGCCGACAAATTCATCTTAAAATAGCTATCGTGTTTTGAATTATAGATTTCATCTTTTTCATCGTTATTATGAAATGCACTTCTAACAAGTGTTTAGTCTTGGACTGCAGTTGAAGGAGGTTTTTTTTTTTACAATTTGCTCTTCATATTACTACAAGAGTAAACTCTGGGACATAGACTTGGCCATATGCACTCTTGGCATAAGATAGCCACTCTCGAATTCAAACCTACAAACTCATAGTTATCTATCCTATCCCATCCTTTCACTCCAACACCAACTCTCAGATATGCGAATATTTGGCACATAAATAACTAATGGTTACGTGAAATTATCTAACAAACTTGTTATCCGACTGATCAAATTAATCAAGAATCGAATCAGAATCCAAATCAAAAAGATGTATGTTATCATCCGTTTTCAATCTCCATCGTTCCATTCATTATAATGTGAATTTTGCAGACTTACCCTTGTCAGTTGAAGTTGAACCTTCCAGTGGTTGCTCAGTCACCATCTCAGACGAAACAACCACCCCTGGCCAAGGGCGACACATGCAGTGCTTCCCTTTCTCAATGCCGGCAAAGAGTGTGGTAAGGTGCTTCCCGCACCCACGCCACGATGTCTTCCCGCATTGCTTGCACTCCACCCTTGAGCACATCCTTTTTTGGAATTCTTTGTCTCAAAGGAAGATGAATATTTGATACAGCCTCACATCTCCTACCCACTTCAGTTTTGTAGCATCACAGTTCTCTTGATTCTGTCGACCTTTGTGCTCTATGCAAACATCATGTGCAAACAATGAAACTACTTGGTATACTTCGCTTTACATAGTAAACCCCACCCACCAAATGTTCTTTTAGAGGGGCTCTATTCGCTTTATAAAATATGATCCAAACTCGATCCGTTAACAAGCCTAACTCCAATACCTTGTTGGCCACAAAGTCCGAGGCTGCTGCTTAATAGTAAACAATTTGCATCTCTGTGACAATCAATAGGAATCGACCCTTTAGATTTCTTTAATAAGTCACCATATAAACACTAGTTATTATGGTGATTGGTTTCAAGGAGGATCAATTAAAGTTAAGTTTTGTCAATAGAAAGTTGTCTCCTCAATCACTTGTCTTGTAATCGGTTATTACAAAGAAAACTAAAGATGTACTTAACTATTCACACATCATGTGCAATGGGTAAGTGTAAACATGACAATCGAGTTGTACTGTGTTGTATTCGAATTGTGTCATTTCGACTTCTATCAAATGTTTATTAACTCTAACTCGACTTTATTTAATTGTCTCAAATTGTTTAACACTAACTCATTATATTCATCAATCGCTTGCGTTTAAATTAAAACGAATAGCACGTGAACCAAAATCCATAATTAATACCCCTACCTCCTCCACTCGGAGTTTCCATAAATCAAAATTTTGATCATTTGTCATGTCAAAAATGAGTTAATCATACTCGACATTAACTTGAGTTGCTTATTAATAATAGTTAATTAGGTTATTCTCAATTTCATGTCAAAAACTACTCAACCCCAATGGCTAATACATGAAACTTCTCTTCCCCTGTGGGTTAAGGCCATCTATGTAATGTAACAGCTGATAGTTATAAAGTCCAACTTAAATTTATGATTGCCATANTTTTGTGTTGGATTCATGTCACGTTAACTTACTGTCTTGAAAATTGTCACCATTTGCTAAAAACTAAAATCTTCTTACTGGACTCTTATGACCCTGAGGTGTTGACACATGAAACTTCTCTTCCCCTGTGGGTTAAGGCCATCTATGTAATGTAACAGCTGATAGTTATAAAGTCCAACTTAAATTTATGATTGCCATACCAGACAATACATATATCCCTTTGGCAATCCACCTCATGTTCAACTCCATTATTATTATGAGGAATCAAGCTTAAGAGCAATTTCAGAAACACAAGTTCACCCAATACAAAATTCTAGTTACTGTTCAGTCCCCGAATCACCCTAGGAACTGCTGGGGGTTTCAGAATTATGGAAGTGTTTCGGACCTTGGAGCTCAACGGTTTTATAGAATCATATCATGGTTTTTCAAAGGTAATATCCTATTAAATGTGAGCAGTGTAGTTAACAACCATGTCCATACAACCAACTACTATGCAACAGTTAACATACAACAGGCAATCCAAATAAAAATACCGCTCTAATGTTATAAAGCTCGATGATGACGGGAAGCTCATATGGGAGAATGAGGCACCAAATTCTGACGTACTTGGTAATTTGGACTCCAAACTCGTAATCATTTCGCAGATTTATCATCCCAAAATCTCGGTGTCAGGTAGCTCTCGTGTTTCCAAACAGAACTACAAATAAAAACCTTCAAGAGGAATTGCCATTTCCTTTGTTTGGTGGTGAATCCAATGCAGGCTTTTTATTTGCGCTGGATTCTGCTGTGCCCGAGTTCATCAACACTCGCTTGACTCCTCTACCCACCACCCCAAGATGTGTTACTACTCCAGCAGCAGCCCCAATTGTGTGAGCAGTTGAAACAGTTGGAGATTCAAAACCTCCACTGCTGCTAGCTGTAGCCATCTGCGAAGAGCTCATTACTGACGAAGCAGCACTCTTCTCAGCGCCTCTTACCTTAGCAGACATCATTCCAAGGATATCTGAGAGGATTGATGTTGGGTTTGAGACAAGCTGTTCGAGATCTTCAAGCTGCAAATCCAAAGAAAAACAAATTTACAAAGCAGAGTAGAAGTACCTAGTGACATAATATAAAACAGTTAGTCACACTCGCCTTCTTTTCCAGATCACCAGAGAGGCCAGTGAGTGTTTGAATCTCAGCTTCTTTATCTGCAACAGAATCTCCAGATTGGAGCACACTAGAAGAGTGCTGCACAATTGGGTCCGACTCAGAAACAGCTGATGTTGCTGTTGATCCTGACACATTTTTTACTTCATTCATGAGCCGCTGCACCCGAGACTTGCAAACTGCAATAGCCCTTTGACAATAAGGAATTGCATCCTGAGCTTTCGAACCAATTTCCAAGCACAAACATACCCTGAAATTTCTGTATTCTCCTGTTAAGGTGGTGACTTAGAAGACATAAAGGAGAATAAATAATGTATTCCAACTAATAGTTATATCAAACCCAGGTTTACTAATTCTCTCAAAAGGTAATATTTCAGTGTCATTTCGGCATCACCTCAAAATAAGAAAGGAGTTCAACCTTAAAAAGGATACAGTTCAGCTATCTGTCTGCTGTCTGGCTCAACCAAGCGCTCCAAAATGGATAGAGCTTTCAGGTAATCACTGAGGGAGGTTTCAACATCCTCTGTACACAGCAAAACAAAGGAAAATTACACCAACCAGAGGAATATCTCAGCACAATTGAGTGTAAAAGTCTCACAAAATCCTTATTTAACACATACTAAGAATCTCAATTCAGACAAAGAAACAGACCTCTTTCCAAAGCAACCTCCGCCAAAGCTGACAATATATCTACTTTCTCCATGGTGTCACCGGAGTGTTTCTCGACAATTGCTCTCGCAACATCTAGCATTTTCCATGCCAAATCCAGGTCAGATTCATCCTCATCTCCTTCAGCCAGATCCTCATCATCACTTTCCTCTTCATCTTCTTCCCCATCTTTTTCACCCAGAACTATCTCCAATAAAAAAAAAGTTAAAAAAAACGTAAATAAAATCCATTTGTGCATACTGTAAATACTCAAGATGCATGCATTCCATATACTAGGCTATCAATGGACACATAGCACAATTCTCAGGGTTCTTAACCAACCATTCCAGAATTTCAAAATTCCCAACATAGGTCTCAGTTGCTAAATAAAATAAAAGAACAGAAATCCCACCAACTGTTGAAATCTTTCCCCTTTCAGATAATTCCAATTGCACTCATCTACTTCTTGGCATGTAATAGTTGTCCTGAGTGACCAAGCAGCAGTACAGGAATGTGCTCGTTTGGTGGGCCAGAGAGTGGAAAAATTGATTGTCTGCTATGCATTAGCAACATGAAGAGCGGGCTCATTTGCCAGCCTTTGAACCAATCATTAGTGTCAAAGGATTCCTTACACCTTTTTGATGAGAAACGATATCTTATATCACATTCGCAAGAAAAGACGCCCACATAAGTCCATACTTAAGCCTACTCGACAGACCCAAGAACTTGGAGCTATTATAGAGGTTGATAAATTAAAGCTACAAAAACATGAAAACTAATGCTATACGGGTTCAAAACTAATCTTTGAAGCTTACAGAGACCTATCAACTTTACATTTTAAAAATGATTTTGTAGCACCATGGTCACTTTCAGATTATTCAAACTCCAGATGGTTGTCCATTGTCGCACATCACTTTAAATGCTTGTAAAGAATCACTTTGTGTTTCCACATAAATTATACTAAATGGACCCGAGAAAAACAAAACTAGAGTCTCCCACACACACAGACTAGTTACTATACTGCCAGATCACTATTCCTCAATGAGTCTTGAAATTCATTCTTTACACCTAAGAATCAAACTGAACCAACGTTAAATATGTTCCGTAGCACCCTCCATTTACCACAACATACGTTCAAAAGGCAACAAAGAATGAACTTCACAAAAGAAAATCAGGAAATATTCTTTCTGGTTTGCACAAGGCATGCAATTTTCAAGTGAAATAGTTCTTAACTTCTTCCCTAAATCACATAAAAGGTGAAAAAAAATCTGAGGGAAAAGACAATACTGGACTCTCACTTTTGACTTATTAATTAAGATTTAATGGACCAAAACACAGATTAAGCATTCATTTTTTGCATTCATTTTTTGGCGACAAAGGAGGATCTTGCTGAACATTTTTGACAGGTGTGGGCTCCATCGCCCGTGTTTGGGCTTCGAAAGTAGCATGCACAAGGTAAAGCAAGTCAGGTAACCTGTGGTATGTATGACTATATGAATTGGCCAACACAATCTCAAATGCATACGGTACTCTATTTTTGCTAAAAAGAAGATATTACCCAACATCCTCAATGACGAAAAAGGGCAAGCGTTAGAGAAATACTGGAAAAAATGAGGTCCAATTTTAGAAACACATTAATTTGTTGCACGCGAATCAACTCAAAAAAGTAAATTTAGCCATCCATTCATATAGAAAGATAAAGGCATTTCACTTTAATGATGTAGATGATGCTTTAATACATCAATTTGCATATACTAATAAAATGAGCATAAGCTATACACAGTGTTAAGTTTAGAGGATTAACACAATATTAGAGAGAAACAGAGAAGTTAAAAACTTAACCTAACTCTCATACATCACTTGTATTTATAGTTAACTCACAATAATAAGAATTACACATAATACCCTAACACTATTAACAATTTACACATACTACCCTAATACTCTTAACATTCCCCCTGAAGCTAAACTATATATATCATATAATCCCAACTTGAAATAAATAGCTGTAAGACGTGTACGACTCAATGCTTTGGTAAACATATCTGCAAGCNATTCCCCCTGAAGCTAAACTATATATATCATATAATCCCAACATGAAATAAATAGCTGTAAAACGTGTACGACTCAATGCTTTGGTAAACATATCTGCAAGCTGATCTTCAGATTTCACAAATGGAGTCGTAATCTCCCCAGCTACTATCTTGTCCCGAATGAAGTGACAATCAACCTCAATATGTTTGGTTCTTTCGTGAAACACAGGATTGACAGCGATATGGATAGTTATCTGGTCGTCACAGAACAATTGTAAAGGAAGTTGAATTGGAAACTCAATTTTCNAATCTCTCCAGCTACTATCTTGTCCCGAATGAAGTGACAATCAACCTCAATATATTTGGTTCTTTCGTGAAACACAGGATTGACAGCGATATGGATAATTATCTGGTCGTCACAGAACAATTGTAAAGGAAGTTGAATTGGAAACTCAATTTTCTGGAGGAAGTGTAGTAGTCAAGTCAACTCACTCGTAGTATGTGTCATTGCCCTATACTCGGCCCCATCACTGGATTTTGCTACCACGGATTGTTTCTTACTTTTTCATGAGACAACATTACCTCCTAAGAAAGTACAATAACCAGTGGTTGATCTCCGATCANTTTTGCTACCACGGATTGTTTCTTACTTTTTCATGAGACAACATTACCTCCTAAGAAAGTACAATAACTAGTGGTTGATCTCCGATCAAAAAGAGAGTCAACCCAATCAGCATCTGAGAAACCTTTCACTCTAAGATGTTCATTAGCTCGATATAACAGTCCAAGTCCAGGAACTCGTTTGAGATATTGCAAAATACGAGTAACTATCTCCCAATGTGGTACTCTAAGACACCCCATGAACTGACTTACTATACTGACTGCATAGGAAATATCCGATCGAGTANAGCTCGATATAACAGTCCAAGTCCAGTAACTCGTTTGAGATATTGCAAAATACGAGTAACTATCTCCCAATGTGGTACTCTAAGACACCCCATGAAGTGACTTACTATACTGACTGCATAGGAAATATCCGATCGAGTAATAGTAAGATAATTAATCTTTTCGACCAATCTGCGATACCAACCCGGATTCTCAAACAATGCACCATCATCCATCAATAATTTTTGATTCGGATCCATAGAAACATCAATCGGTCTACCTCCCAACAAAGCTGTTTCCCCAAGCATGTCAAGTACATATTTCTTCTGGGATAAACAAATACCCTGTTTAGATCGAGTCACCTCAATACCCAAGAAATACNTTTTCTGGGATAAACAAATACCCTGTTTAGATCGAGCCACCTCAATATCCAAGAAATACCTGAATTTTCTCAAATTCTTAATATGAAATCGATCCTGTAAGAATATTTTTAACTTGGCAATCCCCTCAGAATCATTCCCAATAATCACAATATTATCTACATAGACCACCAATAGGACATATCCAGCATCTGTCTGTCTATAAAACACAAAATGATCTATCTGACATTGAAGAAGACCAAACTCTAAAACTACATCTGAAAACTTACCAAACCATGCCCTAGGTGACTGCTTCAAATCATACAAAAATTTCTTTAACCGACATATACTCTTACCATACTTCCCTTGAGCAATAAACCTAAATGGCTGCTCCATGTATACCTCTTCAACCAAGTCACCATGTAGGAAGGCATTCTTGNTGTCTGACATCGAAGAAGACCAAACTCTAAAACTACATAAGAAAACTTACCAAACCATGCCCTAGGTGACTGCTTCAAATCATACAAAAATTTCTTTAACCGACATACACTCTTCCCATACTCCCCCTGAGCAATAAACCCAGATAGCTGCTCCATGTATACCTCTTCAACCAAGTCACCATGTAGGAAGGCATTCTTGATGTCTAACTAAAACAAGGGTCAATCAAGATTAGCAACCAAAGAGATAAAGATACGAACAGAGGAAACTTTGACAACAGGAGAAAAAGTCTCCTCATAATCAACATCATAAGTCTGAGTAAAACCCTTTGCAACAAGTCTGGCTTTGAGATGCTCCACAGAACCATCTGGATGAAATTTAACAGTATACACCCAACGACAGCCAACATATCGTTTACCAGGGGGTAAAGGAACGAGATTACAAGTCCCATTATGATGTAAAGCATCCATCTCCTCCTCCATAGCTTTCCTCCAACCCGAATCAGATAAGGCATCTTGTAAATGCTTAAGAATAGATATAGCAGATAATTGGGAAGTAAAACAAGAGAAGATAGGAGACAGGGCATCATATGAAACAAAATGAGAAATGAGATGATTAGTAACACACGAACGAGTANACATATCGTTTACCAGGGGATAAAGGAACGAGATCACAAGTCCCATTATGATGTAAAGCATCCATCTCCTCCTCCATAGCTTTCCTCCAACCCAAATCAGATAAGGCATCTTGTAAATGCTTAAGAATAGATATAGCAGATAATTGGGAAGTAAAACAAGAGAAGACAGGAGACAGGGCATCATATGAAACAAAATGAGAAATGAGATGATTAGTAACACACGAACGAGTACCTTTGCGATAAGCAAAAGGTAAAGAGTCTAAATTACCTGATGTACCAGAATCAGAAGGCGGCAAAGAAGACGGTACGGGCACCTCAGTCAATGGGCGAGGACGGCGAGAGTAGACACGGAGAGGTAAAGTAGACGGTAACACAGTAGGCAGCAAAATGTCTGAAGATGAGGAAAGAGATGATGGTACAGGAGATGATCCAAAGTCCAGATCCAAAGGCTGAGAAGGTGCTAAAAAGTATGGAATAGATTCTTCAAACGTGACATCGGCACTAGTAAAGTAACGGTGCATAGAAGGACTGTAACAACAATATCCTTTCTGCGTGTGGGAGTAACCAAGAAATACACATTTGGTAGCTCGAGGGTCAAGTTTGTCAAACCCATGACCCAAATTGTGAACATAACAGACACATTCAAAAATCTTAGGAGTCAGAGAAAATAAGGACTTACTAGGAAAAAGGACAAAATATAGACTTTGCCCATTTAACACAGAGGATGATNTCCAAAAATCTTAGGAGTCAAAGAAAATAAGGACTTACTAGGAAAAAGGACAAAATATAGACTTTGCCTATTTAACACAGAGGATGATATACGATTAATAAGATAACAAGCAGTAAGAACAGCATCACTCCAAAAATATCGTAGAATATTCATCTGAAATAACAGGACACAGGTGACTTCCAACAAATGACGATTCTTGCGTTCAGTAACAACATTTTATGGAGAGGTGTAAGCACAAGAAGTCTGATGAATAATGTCAATTTTACTAAGATAAGCTGAAAAAGGATCAAATTCATATTCCCAAGCATTATCAGAACGTAAAATACAGATATGACACCCATACTGAGTTTTTATTTCCTTACAAAATGTCTCAAATATAGAGAATAATTCAGACCGAGCTTTCATCAGAAACAACCAAGTTACACGAGAATAGTCATCCACAAATGACACAAAATAAGGATATTTATTAGATGAAATATTCTTTATTGGACCCCATACATCAGAATGTACCAACTCAAATGGACTAGACACACGATTATTGACTCGAGACTGAAATGACACACGGTGATGCTTACTCAGTTGACAAGCTTCACAAGACAAAGACGGCACAAAACTAAAACTGGAAACCTGACGCTTCAGATTTTGGAGAGAGGGATGTCCAAGACGACAATGTCACTGAAAAGGAGACAACGGGATCTGTAAAGCCCGAGTAGGTGAATCAAAATCAAAGTAATATAAGCCACCTACTTCATGCCCCGTACCAATCTTCCTCTTCGTCTTAAGATCCTGAAAGACACAATAAAAAGGATAAAAGGTTACGGAACAATTAAGAGAACAGGTAATCTTGCTAATGGAAAGTAAAGTAAAAGGAAACTGATGAACAAATAATACGGAAGATAGGGGCATATCAGGACTCAAGTTAGTAGTCCCCAAACCTGAAACTTTAGAACAAATGTCGTTAGCAAAAATAACACTACGTGTGGAGGTAGAAGACTGATAAGTAAAAAAAATATCAAACGCACCAGTCATGTGATCAGAAGCGCCAGAGTCTATGATCCAGGGACTGCGATTAAAGGACAATAAACAAGTAGAAACAATACCTGACTGGGCAAAAGTAGCCATGGAGGGAAAGGGAACAGCCTGTTGCTGGGATAGGAACTGGTCATACTCCTCTCGAGTAATAGTAACCAATTCAGTGTCTTGCTCGAATTCCATAACAGTGCAACAAATAGTAAAACGAAAAGCACTAGATCACTGAACAGGACAAGAATCACCGACTGCACTACTAAACCGAACCAAAGAAGTCCACGAAATCACTAAACCAGCCTAAACCGGTCTAAAACAGACTGAAATGGTCTAAAACTTACTGAACCGGTCTAAGAACTTATTGATCCGACCTGAACCAGTCCAAGAAAACCTGTTGAAAGTCTAAACCAGACAGGAAATAGGAGTTGCACTACTAAACCGATGCGAACTGGGTCTGAACCGGACCAGACGGAGGAAAACCGAGTCTAAACCGAACCTCTGAACCCGCTGGATCGCTGAACCAGACTAGACCGGGTTTTGGGCAGGACTGAGTCTATTTGCTGAACCCGCTGAACCACTTTAAAACCTAGTTTTGGGCTGGACCACTTTACGACTTGGTCTTGGTTTGGATCTGATCCAGACCTAACCCTGGCTCCTTCTTCTTCGCTAAATAGGGTTCCCTTGGAACCCTTTTGTCTTCGACGGTGCCAAACAACACCACAACCACCACAGCCACACCACCACCACGATCGATCACACCACCACTTTGACTGCACCTCGACCACCACACCGAACGACAGACTACCAAAGCGGACACTACAACGGCGCTACACCACAACGGAGAAATCACACTATACCACCACCGCTACACCACCACGATGAACACCTAACGAAGGTAGACGATGACCAACAGTACCACACCACCAACAACGACGACAAACGATGGTTAACAGTACAACGCTACCACCACTAGCGACAATACCACCAACGAATCAATCACCACAACTGTATCACCACCACCACTGTAGTTCGACGATTTAGCGGTACACAGCCACAACAACTATACCATCACCACCAGTATGGTTAATTTATTCAAAAAATATATATTTAGGATTAAACTTGCTCTGATACCATGTTAAGTTTAGAGGATTAACACAATATTAGAGAGAAACAGAGAAAGGTTAAAAATTTAACCTAACTCTCATACATTACTTGTATTTATAATTAACTCACAATAATAAGAATTACACATAATACCCTAACACTATTAAAAATTTACACATACTACCCTAATACTCTTAACACACAGAACTCACTAAAATCTGGGCACTGCTTATTATGTCCTGGCAAATTATTGTGATAGTGAAATTGGCCATCATAAAGTTTCTACAAGTGTCTAAAAAGATAAGTATAGGTAGCATGGCAAGAAATCTGATTTATCCCTAAATATCATGACCACGAATACTAACCCTCACTGAGCCCTCCTTCATGATGATTTGAATTTCCATCTTGCTCGGCATTACTTGAAGCAGCTGCAGAAGACTCACCATTACTGGCACTCTGAACAAATCCGTCTTTATTGGAATCTTGCTGAGATTCCCCCTCTTTCTTGGGCACAGCGACCAATGGATCAGCCTCTTCTTGAGCTTTGTACAGCAAGGCACATCCATATTTATAATATGCATTGACGCATTGAGGAGAAAGTTCACCATATTGTGCAGCCCTGTAAGATAAAAGAAAGATGAAAATAATTGCCATTAAGGAACCATCTTCAAAATGGAAGGTCCCTTTTAACTCTAATGCTGGATTTGGTTCTCAGAAAGAGTGGAGCCCGAAAGAAAGGGAAAAATAAAAGAATGGAACCACCTTTCCCCATTGTGTCATAAACAAAAAAGTATTTCTTCAAAGTCACAAAAACTCTCTCTCAGCTTCAGGTTTCTGTGTTCTTGATGGAAACCACAAGGCACCAAGGCCAGAAGAAAAATAATTGAAACTGCTAACAATGGATAAAGGTTTTCTTCCATCTTTTACATGCTTAAATGTGTGCTCAAATGGTGTGCAGTGAACACAATGGGGATGAATCACTCAATAATATTGGGTGCCAAATCTGATAGAAGTCAACTAAATGATTTTAGATCAGATTTTCTTCTTCAACTTTCTGTGTTTCGATTGTGGAGATGTTCTAATTCTCCATGTCACATTCCAATAGTATGCCCCATTTAAAAAGTAGTGATAGATTAACTGAAAGGAAAAATTGAAGGTCACCCTGTCATCAATCGGCAAAGGACATCACGCTACGTTATTTATTCATAATCACATCATGGTGCACCTTAAGCCACAGCAGTTAGCAGCTGAATACTGTGATATGCACAAGAAGGGTAGTATCCATGTGTCTGCTTAACAAATTCTAGAACATCAAATAGAATATTATCTTCTGCCAAGGAGTAATCTTCGTTAATTAATTTTAAGTCGTACTGAATTCATGAATTCAACAGCCCAAATATCCATTCACGATTCCACAAACAAGACATCAGCGCAACAGTAAAGATGTCCACTAAGACAAAAGCAAAAAAAATTTGTATGCCTCAACCACTCGTGAGTTTATGGACATAATGTAAGCTTTCTGTCCCCAAAGGAAAATACCATACACACATGAACATAGTTGTGCCCGTACACGCTACTGAAGCTAGTCAGTCCTCTTCAGGAATATACATCCCAGATAACTAGTCTAGAATTCCCATTAGCTGTCAATTACCTAAAGTTTACAGAACCAAAGAAATGCGGGCAAAAATATTGTTGAACTAGTCTAAATTTTGGGGATTTAAATAAAAAAATGGCAAATAAGCTACTAGCAGTGCCAAAATTCTCACTAGTTTAGATCAAATTAGCAGTTAAACAGAGTGAAAGTACAAAAATAAAGGGAAAAATAAAATTTTACCTGATTTCTAGGGCACGACTGAAGCAGTCGGTCGCTTCAGCATAGTCCCGCTCTTTCTCAGCTTTAGAGCCTCGCTCCATCAACTCATCCACGTACTCCAATGACTTCTCCCGATCTCCATCGGACTTCAGACCAGAACTCTCAACGTTGTTGTTGTTGCACGAAGACTCCGTCCCTCCTTGAGGGCCTGATTCAATTGTCGCTTCGACTGAATTTGGTGTCTCCTCCAAAGCCGGACCTAGGATTTCTGAATTCGCAGCTTCCTCTGCCATTCCTAAACTTCGATTCGATTATGAAATGGGAACGAGAAGTCTCTAAAATCGACTTTGTTTGCTGTACTTCAAAAACCCCTTGTGGCGGAAAATGAAAAATATACGAGGGAAATTTTGTTTCTTCCGGCCCAAAACTCAAAAGAAAAGAAGAAAAACAAGAAAGGAGGAATCTCCCTTTTGTACCTAGAAAGATTTAAAGATTTTTAATTTTGTACCTTCAAAAATTATATTTTATTCGTTAAACTTTTAGAGTGTGTTTGACAAATCGGTGGTAGATTGGACTAATTTGAATTTAAATTCTAAACCAATCTAGTGAAATTTCAATAGGCCGAATATGTGGAGGGATAAAAGGAAATTATATTATTCAATCTCTGCTTTGGATAGTGCAATATAAAGGGGTTGAGATATGGACAAAGTATAATTTTTTGTTAAATATCTAATACGTTTGACATTGATCGACAATTTTAAACTTAAATCCTATTCAATCGTATCTCATTTTTGACTCGACAATTTTTGGTTACCACTTTTTAAATAATTATTTTTTACTTTTTGATCATTGTTGATTACCAATTTAATAATGTGAGAAATATAATAATGCTTATATATTCACCAAATACATGTTATTACACGTTGATTTTATAAGTCGCTCACAATTTTATTTCATTCGTCAAAGATTTTAAAAAATTTAGGACAAATAATGCAAGAATATACGAAAAACTACAACACAACCCAAATTAACATGAACTATAGTAGAAATTAACCATTTTTTTTTTGTAAAAATTAAAAGACGATAAAATTAATTCCAAGCACAAGGAAAAATACAAGAAGTCATTATGGGAAAAACTATATACAAACCTTATTCAAAACATGTAAAAAAGAACAAAACATATATTAATAAGAAAAATTATATACAACATTCGCATACAGTCAAATAGTGTGATCTTTTATCATAAAAAATTAAGCATTTTTTTTAGTCTACCAAGTGGCAAGATTTTTTTTTAAAATGTTTTCATCAACTGTCACAAGACTCTCCATATATCTCTCAATCTCCACATAACCTATATGACCACGACATGCACAAAATTAAAAAAAAATATAAAAATACAATAAGGAAGAAAAAAAGATATAACACAATGACAAGCAAAGTCCGAGTGGATTCATGGCAAGAGAGCAATATCAAAGAACAAACACATTACAAAATCACCTGCAACAATTAAACAATATAAACTTAATCTTGGGACTTCTCCCATTTGAGGGGTTAACCACCTCTCATGTGAAGTGAGGGTCATCCCTTCCAAAATGATCATAGTACAAAGAGTCATCCAACTAACCATTGTCTTAAACCAAAGCATTTCAAATATTTAAGACACGAAGGTTTATGTTTTGTGTGGGTGAATAGGGAGGTTTTTGGTTATATTTTATGAAAGGCGTATGTGGGTGTTGGTTTATTTAAGGCATTTGACCTTTTGTTTTTTATTATTATAATTAAAGGCCAACAATGATATCATTATTTTATATTCAATCCATAACACAAAACAGTAACAAGCTTTGCAAAAAAACATGTTAACAACTAAATGTAGATGTAAACATTGTTTTAAGATGTAAGTAATTTTTACTCCGAATATTTGTGAAAAATGGCTATTGTTATTTGACTTATACATCCATCTGAACATCAAACTGAGCAAGTGATTTTTTTCCCTNTTGGTTACCACTTTTTAAATAATTATTTTTTACTTTTTGATCATTGTTGATTACCAATTTAATAATGTGAGAAATATAATAATGCTTATATATTCACCAAATACATGTTATTACACGTTGATTTTATAATACAATTTTATAAGTCGCTCACAATTTTATTTCATTCGTCAAAGATTTTAAAAAATTTAGGACAAATAATGCAAGAATATACGAAAAACTACAACACAACCCAAATTAACATGAACTATAGTAGAAATTAACCATTTTTTTTTTGTAAAAATTAAAAGACGATAAAATTAATTCCAAGCACAAGGAAAAATACAAGAAGTCATTATGGGAAAAACTATATACAAACCTTATTCAAAACATGTAAAAAAGAACAAAACATATATTAATAAGAAAAATTATATACAACATTCGCATACAGTCAAATAGTGTGATCTTTTATCATAAAAAATTAAGCATTTTTTTTAGTCTACCAAGTGGCAAGATTTTTTTTTAAAATGTTTTCATCAACTGTCACAAGACTCTCCATATATCTCTCAATCTCCACATAACCTATATGACCACGACATGCACAAAATTAAAAAAAAATATAAAAATACAATAAGGAAGAAAAAAAGATATAACACAATGACAAGCAAAGTCCGAGTGGATTCATGGCAAGAGAGCAATATCAAAGAACAAAAACATTACAAAATCACCTGCAACAATTAAACAATATAAACTTAATCTTGGGGCTTCTCCCATTTGAGGGGTCATCCCTTCCAAAATGATCATAGTACAAAGAGTCATCCAACTAACCATTGCCTTAAACCAAAACATTTCAAATATTTAAGACACGAAGGTTTATGTTTTGTGTGGCTGAATAGGGAGGTTTTTGGTTATATTTTATGAAAGGCTTATGTGGGTGTTGGTTTATTTAAAGCATTTGACCTTTTGTTTTTTATTATTATAATTAAAGGCCAACAATGATATCATTATTTTATATTCAATCCATAACACAAAACAATAACAAGCTTTGCAAAAAAACATGTTAACAACTAAATGTAGATGTAAACATTGTTTTAAGATGTAAGTAATTTTTACTCGGAATATTTGTGAAAAATGGCTATTGTTATTTGACTTATACATCCATCTGAACATCAAACTGAGCAAGTGATTTTTTTTCCTCAAGTTCAAGAAATTATCTTCTTCTGAAAAATCTCCCAATAAGAAATAAATTTATTTTGGAGCAAAAGACAACGGAATTAGTCCAACCCAGGTTAGAAAAATTACCTGTCAAAACACTGGAAAACTCATCACAATGAACATACTTGTTGGAAAATTAATATCTCTCACACCACTATGTATCGCAAAACAAAATGATACACCAAAATAACTTAAATGAAAACACAAGAATTTTCGACTAAATTAAATAATCTGAGTAAAGTGACATAATAAAATAAACGAGTTTTATATATGTTTAATTTTTTTGGTTAACCTCGACGGTGCGAGGAAATTTAATTATTGATTAAAAAATTTAATTACACCTAGTCAAGGGGGACGTATGTACATTACCCCTCGATGCAATCTAATTACATGGAATAAAAGTTAAGAATTAAGAGGGAAAAATGCATGATTGTTACATAATAAAGAAATGAAAACAATCCTAATCATGCTGATCCAAATTAGAAAAATCAACTGAAAGATGCAATCAAAATGTGGACTGCAATAGTTAGAGCAGTTGAGAGGTTTAATGAGCTGAATTGGTTGAGATGCAGCTGAGAGGTGAAGAGGTAGAGCAGTAAGACTGCACGGTTTCTGAGCAGGAGCTAGAGGCTTGACTGGCCTCCATCTGGGCACAGGACTGATAAGCCATGAAATCCAGAATAGACCACACAACGCCAGTAGACACACATTCCCCCACACAAAACTACCAGAATACCCATATCACATTCCCCCACAGCTTTATTCCACCAAAAGATCAAAATCCAACATATCCAAGAATCAATGCAGTGAAGAATTGGAAAGATCTTGTTTTGGATTGTGTACTGTATAAATAACAGACTATACTTTTTGCTTTGAAACTGGAATGAATGAGTTCTAATTTGTCTTAATGAATCTTGTTTGCATTTTGATCATTGGAAAATATACGACTTTTATAAGTATCACATTTTCTTTAAAAATAACTTGTTGAAAAAAAAATATCATTAAATTTGTATGAAAAAATTGTGTAATAAATACATAGAAGATTCTGCTCATTTTGTGGCAATAACAAGTAATCACCATTAAGCGTTCTCAACTTATAAGAAACCTATAGCTTGAAGAGCAGAATTGTTCGCAATGAAGAAGGTTGCTTTCTAATTTTTGAATCTGCTTTATGAGGGTATTAATGCTTTCGAGTTCTATTGTCAAATTGCTTTTCCATTGCTCATGTTCCATACTGGCTACTGTAAAAAATGCATAGTATTGTACAAACAAAAAAAATCCCAATAGCCCTCAACCAAGCAACGTTTCAGACGGTATCCATGGAGGAAGAGAAGAAGAGAAAGAGACAGAGCACTCTCAGATAGCAGATAAAAAAAAATACATAGTATTGTACAAATTTTGAAAAAATACAGGCCTCAACCCAGCAACGTTTCAGACATTATCCATAGAGGAAGAGAAGAAGAGAAAGAGACAGAGCACTTGCTCTAGAACGGGGCCTTCTCTGCAGTTCAAACGAAAAAAAAAATTAGGTGATTTTAATTTTTCTTCTTGGAAACATCTACTGCTTCACTCCAAAATACCACCTTAAAGTATGTAACTAATACATTAAAAAATACAGAGGAGGCTTCCAAGAAGACAATAACTACAGGAGAGAGAGAGATATTTTTTACCTTCAACTGGATAAGGGGACAGGAGGCGCCTTTGTCGTCAAAGTGGAGGGACCAGTTGAAAGAGAATGGAAAAGGGTAAAAACCCTACCTAACATTATTGTTTAATGGCAATTTAGTCATTTCTTCCTTATCCAGCCGATGGGCTTCTGAATCCCAAAGTCCACATGGGTTTCATGTATCCGAATCAAGCTGGATATCTCCCCTATTTCATACGGCCCGAGTAATTGGAGCCCAACGAAAATCCAATCTAGAATGCCAAACCCAAAGCTGGGATATGTGGGCCTCCGGATATTTTTATCCAATCCTGCTGGTGATATCCAACTTTGTCTTTCCAAACAAACACACCCTAATGTATTATAAGTGTTGAAATGTGACTCTTTCGTTAACTTTCGTTGTTTATTCCATAAAAAATTATCCTATTGACGTTGACATAAGAATTCTTAAATTTTTAGGGTACAAAATAAAATTTCTCTCAACAAGAAATGAAAATGATTTGTAAAATCATGGAGATGACATCCACACCAATTCAATTTGAAATTAGTGAATTAAAATTGATTGAGTTTTTAT